ATTTGCACAGCAGGAGCATTTGCTTGTTGTACCAGATAGCAACCTCAATATGTACTTTCACGGTCTGTTTCTTCTAGAGGGTATTTTTGGCCCATAAGTGGTGTTTGAAGAATATTTCTACCGGTACTATTTTTATGATATGTCTCTTGTCATGGTGCATTGCTAACCATATGGCCAAGTACAGTTTATGCAGCTAAATGGCAAGGTTTACTGCCCAGCAGGCATGATAAGGATTTATTTTGAATAGATGTGTATTGAGGAAAAAAAATATTCTGCTTCAAGGGTACAGGCTTAGGACTTTTATTTCTTCTCTTGGTTCTCCCTTGGTTTTAAATGAGGTTCAGCATCTCTCCCTTGGAATCTCACTGCAATAATGTGGGCTCAGAGCAGCTGTTTTTACTTTGCCTTGCTGATGGTTGGCAGGAGATGAAATATGGAGGAGTAAATTCTGCCTGGCTGCTACAGGTTGCATCACAGAATCACTGACTGGTAGGTCTCTGAGAATTGTTACTGATAGCTAGATTTTTATCTTGGTAGGGGTAAGAGCTCATGAAACAGGATGACTCAAGGAATGACTAATGAAAGCTTTATGATGAAACTTTGTCTTAAAGCGTATCAGCTGTGACCAAACATTAAAATCAGGGCATTATTTGACAGTCTAGGGGGAGTGAGCAGATGCCCTGAGTCCAGCTTCTTGTAGAAATATGTCCTCAATGTAAAATCCACTAGTTCATCTTGTATCAATTAATGTCAGTCGGGAAAGGCACAAAAGGTGAACTGTGCTGTTACCCCTCAAGTGCCTTCTCCCCTTCAGAGCTGGGCCATTTAATGAGCAGATGACATTGCCAATACTTTGTGTTTTTCTTTTTTGTAAATAAATCACTCCAGTCAGATGTATACACACAGCTTTGTGTGTTCACAAAGAAACACAGGCTCCAGGTCTCTCAGAAACAGTTCCAGCTGCTCAAATGGCACTACATTATCAATACAGGCATCATCATATTCAGATGGGCCCCCTATGCAAATGTCATGGGAAGTGCCCCTGCCTGACTCTAATTTATGCCTCTAGCAAAATATCTTTCTTCAGCTCCTTGATCCCAGCCCCTGGAATTTACAGTGTTTTACTGTTATCTTTGCTTTTCCTGTCACACCAGTAGCTCCTCTACAATCCCAAATCATTAGTCACACGCCTAAATCAATGTGGAGGTATCACCTACTGTTGTAAATTACTGAAGTAAAATGACTTCCTGCCTTCTTGTGCCAATGGTCACATTTTCTGTACAGCAACATCCGATTTCCCCATTTCTGCCATAACGAATAATTTTCCCTGGAGATGAACAAACTCCCCCTTTTGGGCAGGGTACAAATGAGGCAGGACTTGCTCAAGGCACGGGGGGCATAGAAAGGGGACATTTGCAAGTTTTGCTCCAGGCAGTCAGGAGATGAGATGGGGAGATCAGGGAAGTCAGAGGTTTAGCCTTGGCTCTGATAATGATTTTCTGTGTGGCCCTTTGTAAGCCCTTTCATGTTTCCACCTCATTTTTCCCAATCCTAAAATGGAGTTCAAAATCATGACTTCTCTAACACCTCCCCCTCCACACACACACACACACACACACAGAGTTGTGAGGAGGTTTAATGTTTATCTCAGAGGCTTTGAACAGTATCATACATCCAGGCAGTATATATAGGCATTTAGACCCAGAATGAGCTTTAGAAAAACATCACTAAAGAAAACAGTATTTATATTTTAATCATATTAATCATAAATTTAAGACTGGAACAGAATAAGTGATTAACAAACCTGCAAAACAAGCCTTATTTCATTGGCTTGAGCTGCTTTCTAGTTCTGTTTGTGTACGTCAAAGTGATGTTCAGTCTTTTTAAATGAGTCACAGGACTGGAAGAACAAAAATATTTGATGGTAACATATAGCAGCAAAACAATTACCCTTTTTATTCTGACAGGCATCATAACCAGAATAGCAAGTTAGAGCTAGAGGTCTAGGCTAGTAGTTTCTTTGCACATATCGGGGATTTTAGATCTGCTTGCAAGACAGTGAAACAGAGCTGAAATGTCAGAAAAAATTATAAGATAACACTAGATTAAACAACAAAAGCAAGCATGCCAGTTAGGATACAACTATTTACATATATAAAGGTGCTACTGATGAGTGAGTCCATGCAGTATTCTCACACAGCACAGCCTTGTCTAGCAGCTTTCTGTACCTTTATCCAGAGGAGACTCCTTTCCACCCTGCTTGCTGCATTGCACCACTGATTTAGTGAAGACATCATCCTCATAAGGATGCTCTTCTAACTCACCTCTGAAATCCGCTTGCTTTTCTCCTCTGACAATTAGGTTTAAATGTGCTGCAGTAAAGTACTCATCCTTAGCAGTCGTATGGCTTTTTAAGTGATAAACTGCATTAGCAAATTTCTTATTAGATAATCTATCAAATGAGGTCATACATAATTTTAGCAGTCTCATCTTGATTTATAGCATGATCACAGCAAATTATGCATACACAAACCAGCATGCTGGCTGTCAAAGTCAGGTATTTTTACTCTGCTAAAGAATCTATTTCCAAGCCAGCCCAGTGGCCTACTGATAGTACTCTGCATCACCACTTTGCCCAGTTAGTGGGACAGCCCTCAAGCTCACCCCTCACCTCCTATTAGGACTGATGAGAGCTGGAGGTAGTAGGCTAAATCCTCGCTTTGTACTTCACAACAATAACCATTTCTGGTGTTTATTCTGACAGGTTTTCCCGTACTCCCCTTAAGTAAGGACATAGGCTGACTTGGAAGGCTAAGATTATGCATAGGGAAACAGTGTCTGCAGGGTGCTGATCTGCTCCCTGGCTCCTTTCTGCGTTCCCAAGGGAATGAGAAGCAGTTGCAGTGAATCATCAGGCAGCATTGCGCAGACTGTAGCAGAGTCTGCTTCCCAGCCCGGGCTGCTCTGGCCAGCAGAGGCTTGGTCAGACACCCACTGGCACTGGAGGAGAGCTCTCCATCTGCTGCCACCTGCACTGGGGAGCCATGGCACCTGTCTCCCTACCAGCACACCCCAGGAGCAGAGGGGAAAAGGGGAAGAAGCCTCAGGAACAAATGCAGTTTGTGAACAGCCCTTCACTAGTGCTGTTGCACTGCTGCTCACCGTACCGGGGTCTAGTCACCACACTGCAGTGAACTGCTCCTATCATCCAGGAGGGACACAGTTCCTGTCCCCTGGCTTCAAAGTCCTGCAGAAAACACTTCATCCATTGAGATATGTGTCTACAACAGAGGGGAGCCATAATAAATGATCTGATTTTGCCTTTCTCTTCAGCCTCTCTCACCTCACATTGCTGTTTCTAGGGTTTAAGCTGTGTGAAGTGGCAAGAGTACGTGTCTTCTGCATGTCTTTCCCACTGGACTCGTGGCCAAAGCCTGCCCATGAAGGGTCAAGCGTGATGGAACAAGATATGTTCCTCAGCATTCCAAGTATCTGCCCTTAAACTGTAGAATAAAAATTAAATGAAAATCTGAATAAAAATTTCCCCAGGGAATGTAACGTCTTAAAGGCCTATCACTACATGAAAATTTTTTGAAACAATTAGTACACAGATCTTCATGTTGTCTCCACAATAATATTCCTGGAGTGAGAGACTGGAAGAAATCAAAATCATTTATCAAAATGAGCAAGCAAAGGGCATGCTTTCAGCGGATGGCACCACTGTTTTGCACATGCTCTGGTAATTTTGCCTAATCCCACTGAATGAACTTTTCATGCATATATATGTGTGTGTGTGCAGATCTGTCATGAGTGAAATCTATTGTATCCTCAGCTGACAAACTATGTTTGGCAGATTGCAGCAGGGTTTGGGAAAAGAAATTCATGACCCAGGCTAAGAGTAGAGAGAGTCCAGGACTTCCCTCTGGAGCAGACCAGCAGCAGCACTGCCTCCCCATGCTGGTACCAACACCACTCCGGGTCCCTCTTCCCTCCCCACCTTTTACCCCTGCCAGGGTGGCTGAAGATGCAGCAGAGAGGATGATGAGAAGGGGCTTGTTTCTTCAGGGCACAATTTTACAGTGAAAATTTGGTGAGTGATGGAGCTACCCAAGTTGTGCCAACCCCAGAGGATGGAGAGGGCTGAACGGGAACGAGTAGAGAGCTGGCTGCAGAATGGATGAAGATAAGTGCTGAGGGAGGGCTCGGGGCTCTGCAGACCCCCACCTCTTGTGAGAACCCCAGGATTGATTCGGGGCTCTCGTGTGGTGGTAAAGTCTCTCCTCCAACCTTTGCTTCCAAAGAAAAACTCCGCAGCCTCTTGTTGTTCGGTCTCAAGGCAGTTTATTGCTGGTTATCTAAAAGATTGTCTTGCCCCGCTGCACTGCCTTGGTCAGCTGCCCAGGCAGAGACACACACACCCTGACACCCTCACTGTCCGGTGTCTCCGTCGTCTCTCCCCCTGCCCAGGGCTGCTGCTATCTTTTATATGATATATTATGTCTTACATGTTTACAGATTTTCCCCAATACCTACTACCTATGTTACAATGTGCTTTTCTACTCTAAACCAATCTGTGAGTGCCAACATCACCAAGAACATGGAGGTAAGGAAGAAGAAGGAGGAAGAACAGGATCAGGCCCACTTTCCTCCATCTTAGAACTCCTGACCCCCCTGTACAAAGTAAAAAACCCCCTGTACAGGTATTAAAACCCCCCTGTACAGGTATTAAAACCCCCCTGTACAGGTATTAAAACCCTGCCTCTGCAGAGCGCCCGCAGCCGCTGGCGCTGCAGCTCCGGTTGCCTGGCAGCAGGAACGCGTCCTCCTCCCCGCCACAAACACCGTCTCCATCGAGACCTCCTCCCGCCCCAAATGTCTGCCCGAGCCGGGAAGCTCTGCAAGGGGAAATGTAGCCGGCCAGAACCTGAGGAATCCCCGTTTCTTCGCTGGGATAGTGCAAGGACCTTTGCACTGATCAGGCGCCCCACAGGTGAATTCATCCAGCATCGTGTGCTTGGCCATTCAGCCCGGATTAGCACTACGAGAACAAGCTCCCTTAATGAAACACCTGCTGATTACATGAGTATTTAGCTTTATACCAAACTGTCAGAGGAAAAATAAGTGTGAAGCTAAGCCCCAGGTCTGCCGTTTTGTTTCTGGGTTTTTCGGTCCTGCTGAAGACACACCAACGTGCTTGATGTGCTGAAAGAAGGCACAGCATGGGATCTGCTGCTCTGGGTCTCTGTGCCTTACAAAGCATGTGCACTGTGTCTGCCTGCCCCTGCATCCAGATGCTGTGCTGTAGGAACTCTGCTGCTGATGAATTTGAGAGACAGAAATCACCAGCTTCAGAGATATCCATCTTCCTTAAAAGCAAGCAAGCCATTATGAGTCAGGCAGATTATCTGCCAGCAGCCCACTGAAGAGAGCTGTCTTCTTCAGAAGGGAGGATTCCTGATGAGTGCAGCAAGGGCAAGGGGACAGGCTGGCAATGGAAGGGGAGAACACAGCTGCTGCAGTCTCCATGCCAGGGTGCCAGGGCTGTGCATGGAGCACATGGGAGAAAAAGTTAGTGGCCTCTTTGCCTAGGGGACTGTGATGTATTCAAAGCTGTGGATTTGGCTCTGGGAGAAGCTGAGTTTGATGATGGTACCAAGGTGCCCAGCAGAGCTGACCACTGTGATGTGGGTTGGGGTGGATTCCTCTATGCTGGGGTGCAGTTACTTGTAGGTACAGAGTACAATAAGACTCTCCCTGCCTGCAGGAAAGCTGAAATTGGTGTGGCCTCTGTTATTTTCTCAGTCGACTTTGAAACAGAAGATTTGTCTTGAGGAGGCTCAAGATACATGAAAACAGTCACACCAGCTGCAGAGGCAGCTCCCTTCTGACTTGACATGATCAGAGAAGTAGTATCCTGCCATCAAGGAGCTGCAGCTTCATCCTCAGGAACGCTGACATTAGCCTACCCCAGCTAGAGCTGTGACTCAAGGCCAGGGCCAAATGAGAGGGGCAGAGACCAGCTGCAGACAGGGACCTGGCAGAGGAGCATGGCAGCTCATCCTTTTTCAGGTGAACAAGGACATTTTTTGGTGGGTGATGCACGAGAGGAGCTGTGGCACAGGGGCAGAGCTGTTGAGGTTGGAGGAGGGTTGGGAGGAAGGGCTGCTATTGAATTGCCAGTCCTGGTTCTATCTGCAAATAGGAGGTCGAGCTGTCACTGGTGTGCAAAGTAGCAGATGGCCTAATTGTGAGATTTCTCCTTTGCAAGAGCAAAATGCTATGCTGTTTTTAACATCTTTGCCTAGAGCTAGCTTCAGATACAACCAAGATATATTGTGCTAGAAATGTGCTCTAGTGATAATCAGGAGAAAACTCTGCTTGAAGTGAGATTTAAAAAATAGTTATTATGGCCTATTGCTGTTAGTCCCACATCCCAAAAGCTGATCTGACTAAAAGAGCTTTCCAAAGCATCTTCTGCTCGACAGATCATCTGGAAATTATTCCATCATTGTGCCACCATGTCTCGTCTTATAACCCCAGGACAGTCTCTATGTATGCACACCATTTCTTCCCTCTTCCTGGCAGAAAAGAATTCTCTCCAGCTTCCCATTTTTCTCATGCAGCTTCAGCAGGTTGTGTGCAGCTCCTTGTCTTGGACATTTTGCTGGAGATCACAAGGCCTCCATGAAGCATGGCCACCTCATCCCTCCTTGGGTGCCTGTAAGAGCTCCAGGCCTGCAGGCAGAGACAGCAGAGCTCACCAGTGTCACACCAACACCAGGTGCTTGAAACTTTATATTGAAGGTGCAGGGTTGTTACTGCTGAGTGTTATGGCAGGTGCATTTTGTCAGCTTCAGCTCTGATCTGAAATCAGGGGAGAGAGCAGCACCTTTCCCAGCTGGCTCAGGCTTGCAGAGAAAACTCTGGTAAGGATACGTGTGGAGAGAAAACTTTGACTAACCTGTAAATCTGCTTAATATCACTATTCAGTGAGGGCAAAACCTAGGGCAAGGATCAGTTTGGAACGGAATCAAGTGAATGCTCTGTTTGAGGACAGAAGCCCTTGTTGATTTTTTTGCAGGCCACTCACCATATTTTAAAGGACTTTTGCCTGTGTATAGCATGTGCTGCCTCTTTCTGACAGACCTTTAAACTTGGTAGTGTCTGTTGGGGTTTTCTGGCAATAAAAGGGCTTTAATGGGTTATCTGTAAGCTTTGTCTTTTAAGTATGGGGGTGTATTAAATCTTCTTTAAATCTACCTTTCTCTTACTGTCCATCTTCAAAAGACTCTTATCCTTGCAAAAGATGTCTGTGCTGCAACAGTCTGTCCTTCCCATTCCTTCCTCTGACTTTCTTCCCCTGTTTTCTCAGAAGTCTCCTGCTAAAAATCCCCCAGCTGTGAGACACCAGCCCATCTCTCAGATTCCACTGATTTCATGTCTCTCTCAGCCTCCATGTAAATCTCCTTATCTCTCCCTTAAGGTCCTCTTTAAGTTACTTTGCCTTTAATCTCATTCCTCCCACTCCTCCTCCTATTCTCCCAGTCATCTCTCTTTCTGCTCATTTTATCTTGTTCTTGGATGCTTCAATCTTGCTTTTTTTCTTCATAGTCCTCAGACACCTCGATCCATCTCCCATTTTCTGTTAACCAAACACTTTCTTCTTCTTCTGTCAACTCTACCTTAAATCCCTTTTTCTTCCTTGCTAGCACTAACACACCACATGCCCTCATGCAGAGTCATCTGAGCTGCTGTCCCACGTGGTTTTCCTGGAGTGCATGTTCTTCACACCAGGAATTTGTGGTTCTCCTACAGTGCACACCCCACAGATACAAACACACAAGGGTCTTTTGAAGAACAGCAGTTGCTGGTAAGTAACCATGCGTTGTTAATCCCATTGCTTATATGGCACACAGAAAACTTTCTCCAGCTGGCTAATGAGGAATCTGTTCTCTTGATGCGAAGGCACATTTTGAATGCTCCAACTAGGTAAATGCATAAAAATGAATGTTATTTAAACTTAGAGTGACTGAAACTTCCTATAAGTGGCAAAGACATATGAGGGACATAAGAAGCAGCCTATTAGAAGAGGTTTGGAGTCTCACTTCTACATCATTTTGCACTAGCACATCATCAGTGGCTGCATCCAAGTCACCTTTAACAACTTTACATTCCTGCACATGACAAATAATAGGGACCAGCTCCCACAGAGCAGAGGAAATACAGCAGCAAGTGTCTCATGTCCATTTCTCAACTGTCGTCAAATAGCTTTTATTCATGGCATAGCACAAGTGTCAGCCAACTGGCAAAGGCAGCCTATATTAAAAATGTTAGGGATTATTCATGTCAACAGACACAAGGGAGCTTTTCTCAGTCAGTGGATCTGCACTAGCTGAGGTATGGAAATGCAGCAGGTTCCCTACAGTAATCTCAAATCTGAATAACTTTAGAAGAAGGCCAGAAGCAGACTGCCATTTCCAAGTACAATTAAAAGTAATCTAGTGCAGTTAGATGAGAGCTTGGATAGGTGAGAGGTTTAACTGTGTGGTTAGATAGAAAAGGCCATACCATAAGGATATTATCTGGAAAGACTGAGGTGGTACTTTTTAAAAAAAGCTCAGATTGAAGATGGTCTGGAGGTGGTGAGCTGATGGTGGCTCTTTAGGTTTGCTTCTGATTACCCAATTAGCTGCTAGGTCCTTAGCCTGTTTGATTGCAGGCATTTCCTGCACTGTTTCGAGTGGAATTTCTGCGGACCACATGATTTTTCTTTTATGGACAAGGAGCAATTTGAAAATGGATTAATTCTTTCTCTTTTTAAAAGATTAAAAATTAACAGCCCTGTTTAACTGAAAATAATGTTTATTAAATGTTTGAGACTTAATACAAAAAAAATATAAGATGGACACAAGCAGTAAAATTGCTTATCTTTAAAAACATCATGTAAAGCTGGAAAAGAATAGAGGTTGCAGATTTCTTAGGTTAAATATTAAGGACAAATCCTTGACTGGTATTTTGAGTCCCACTGTATTTACAGAAGACTATTTTATTCTGTCATCTTGCATTTGGAAATGGTTGCTTTTAAAACATATGGCCTCCTTCTTTTTCGCCTCGATTATTTTTGACTAGTTTAATTCTCTGAACTCTGTGATGTTATGTGGATATGAAATCAGGAGCAATTTAAGTGGAAAATAAAAAATTAAGGCCTATGCAAGTCATCATGAGTAAGGTGACCTGATCTGCTCTGACACAGATCTATGTTCCACTTATGCTTTGGAAAACTTTGGATACTGTATTTTTGTCAAAACCTAATTTCTGTACAAATGTGTGATGCAGAAGAAACCCAACCAGCAAAACCCTCAGATGAATCCCATGCCATCTCCATGACAACATATAGATGCATAGTCTGCTATATTCATCCTTACTGGCAGACTGACTGCTCCTAGCTTTTTCCCACGCTGAGCTGGAAGGCAGACTGACCAACAGGCTGCAGAGAATGTTGCTGGGATTTAAATGTGGAAACTGAAGATTGTGTTTCATTCAGGGTAAACCAGAGGCAAATGGAGCAGCCTTACAGAAGAGCCTTGCACCACAGCTTCCCTTGCTGAGGCTGCTTGGTCAAGTAAAGGAATGGGGACTGGCAGGTCTCCACTGAGTCTGCAAATTCATGTGGAGGGCCTTTGCAGGGATCTGAAAGTCTTGCCAAAAGCTTGTCGGTGTGACTTACAAGCCTAATGAGATAAGAATGGAAGGTAATTTGGGTTAATAAGTTATCCTGAGAAGGGTGTTTTTTCCTGCACACGTAGAAGGAAAGGGAGAGTGATCCAGTTGTCTCTCCCTGGTGAAGAACTCTGAACTCTGTGGAGAGATGTTTTCCTTCCACTCCCTGGCGATGTGTAGGAAACCAAAGGGCCAGGCCAGTGGCATTGAACACGTTTCATGTTAAATCCAACAGTAAATGTGGCCATGGCATTGATTTGCCTCCCAGCAGTCAGGAGCATGACTGTGGGGTCAGGAGACCGTCCCTCGGGCTGCCCTGCAGGGTCTCAGCTCCGGGCGCACACGAGTTCCAGCAGCGCAGGACGGGTGCAGTGACTGGGATGGCAGAGCAGCGATGGATTCAGTAAATCCCCCCTCCTGGCTTTCTTCCTAGCCTGTCCTTCCCCCTGCTCCATCCCCCTGTGCCACAGGGGTCACAGCACTTCCCTGAAGGGCGAGCGGCCTGGCCGTGGCGGTGGTGGCCGGGCAGGCTGGAGTGCTGTAATTTCATACTTCAGCTGACAGTGCAGGAGCTCCTGTCTGCCTGTCCCCTCCTGTCTGCCTGTCCCTCCTGTCTGCCTGTCCCCTCCTGTCTGCCTGTCCCCTGGCCTAGGGGTGGCCCTGCTGCCACAGGCACTCCCGGCACTGTCGGTGGAGCTGAATTCGTGTTGGCAGCGTTTGGGAAACATTCCTGCTGTAAACAGGGTAGTATGTGTGTAACCACCTAAGTAAAACACAGTTGGCCCTTTCATACTTCTGACTTTTGAATGGAGAAGACTTGTGGACTCCTACAGTCTTCTAAATAAGGCTCCTTAGGCACCTTTACCTCCACTCTGCTGCTCAGCTTTCTGAGGAACAGAGATAACAATATTGACCTTCTTAGCAGAGTACTTTCCCGGTTTTTTACGAGATATGCTACATAAAAACTGATTGTCAGGTTTTGTTCAGCTATAAAAAGTCCTTAACAGTGGGGCATGGTATGTTATCAGCCATAAAAAAAGCCCTTATGTTGATCTTTAGCATTTGGGGACAGACCTTTGTTCTGCTTAGTTACTTATAATCTTGGAGTGGTTGTGGGGGTTTTTTGGCTGCTTTCTGTGTGCATATATACTGTGTACATACGGTTGACTTTTGCTTCTGCTAGGGCCAAAGATCACTTGGTTTGGTTAAATGCACAGAGTGACTGGCCCGTGATCTGCCATTCACCACATTTCCTCTGAAATATAAGAAAGTTAGTTTGCTAGCAAACAAGAAACTGGGTAAAAACCCCACTGAATAAAGGACTATGATCTTCTAGAAAGAATCTGCCTTGGCTTCAGCATCCAGCCTGTGAACATTTTATGCTGACTGACAGAGCTTGTCCATTCATTGCAAATAGCCTTCTCCTTTACCATAATAACACATATTTCCCTCTATGTAGCCTCTGAAGAAGAAAAGGAATTCCTTTTTTTTGTCCATAGGGCAGTTGAAAGCTTTGTCCCCAGCCTGGGCAGCACGGTGCAAGGGTAGCAGTGTAGAGAAGTGCTGGAGTTCCTGGAAGATGGCATCTGGGCACAATGGCACCCAGGAGCCTTGGGTAGGTTCCTATTAAACAGCACTTCCAGTGCAATATCTAGCTGAGAATAGCAAGAAGTTGCAGTTAGACAAAAAGCCATCACAAATAACATTAGTTCAAAGTCATAATCATACAAGGAGCATATTAAGAGCTTGGCAAAGCCAAGCCCTAAATAGTTCCCATGGCTTAATACTTCTTGTTCTGAGAAGCTGTATCTGGAAATGCCAAAGGGGTGCATAAACTGTGGAGAAGCCCTAGCTCTGGGCTGCATGATACTGGAGCTCTCTGTCCACAGTCCTGAGAAGTGGCAGTAGTGGTGGGACAGCATTGACAACAGCGATGGTTGGGTTTAGGATGGTAACAATTCTTTGTCTTAACAGATCACTGAAAAAATTGGAGCCGGGCAGGCTCCCTGTCAGGCTCTTCAGGAATGTGAACCGAGCAGCAGGGTGGCTTTGCTAGTGACTGATCTACTCATTCAGGCAGAGATCAGCTTGAAGGCAGCAATTTCCTTGGAGGGTACAAGACAGGCAGAAATATAAGAGAGCCAAGCAGGCTCAGGTGTAGCTAGAGGAGGTATCAGCAGTATGACCCCAAACAAAATCTGAGGGGGGATTTTGGGCAGAGTGCTTTCAAGAAAGATGCATAGAATTGCAAACAAAGCCTCTTCTTTCTGGTTTGGCCTTGGTTTTAAAAGTTCAAGGACAAAGAGCTTTGTGCATTCAGCGTTAATCAAGAGCATTGATATAAGGAATTACCAACTCCATCAGCATTCTCATCCCAGTGGAACCAACCCAAAATAACTCTCACCCCAAAATGATCAAGGGTGCATAACTGATATGGGCTAAAAATAATAATGGTTTATGTATTTCTTAAGAAAAAATTCTTATTTTAAAGAGAGTTGAAGGCAGCAAAGAGTTGGATAGGCTATTATTCTCCAATCAATTCAATTTTTAAGCCTTACTTAAAGAATGCTAATTTTAAACGAGATATTCTTCTGATCATTTCTACAATTGAAGGGATGTAAATTCACATTCATAATGAATGGGGGTTTTTTTTATATTTGATTGCAGTAATCCAAATGATCCTATTTCATATCAAGGACGGAGCTGGTATCTATTTTTTGATAAGTACTTTGCATAGCATACTCTATACAGTTAAAATTTTTTGAGAACGGTTTTAGAAGATACAACTCTGGTAGGGCAGTCCTGGTTGGTGGCACGAAGAGACTTCTCCTGCAGAGCACCAGCCATGGTGCTAAAAGTTGCAAATTCCAGGTTCTTTGTCCTAATAATCTTTTACTGCCTTGTTCTAATCTCCAGCATCATCTACTCAGACTTCAAAGAAAAAGATGTGATCATTAACAACTGTCTTCTCTTTTTAGCTTTCTTTTTACCTTGTTGTCAGGTCTTAGTTTGGTTGCCAAACTTCCTACCCAGTTCTACCCTCTCAAGCCTGAAAGCAACTTCCTTCATCCTTGCAAGGTTCATTTGATTGGCTTCCCATCCTCAAGGTGATGAATTTCAAACACAACAATCTTTGGAAATGAAATTAAA